TTCTCCGTCAAGTAAAAACAACAGCAACTACTACTACTACGAGCAGCAGTAGTAGTGTCGGTAAACTGAGCACTGCGTACTCAGAGGCTGAGGCAGAAATCTTACATAGTCCGTGTGGGCATCATGGAGATTCCGACAGACTTGTTTCATCAGGTCGTAGGCGTGGATGAGATCCCGAGAGGCGGAGGAGAGACACTTGTTGGCCAACTTCAGAATGCTGCGAGGAAAAAGAGACAGGAGATAAGGATCAAATAGGTGGTAAAAATCCAACAAATAAGCAAAAACCACAGGGGGGCAAAAGTGGAGGGTGAGGAGGAGTGACGGACGGGCAATTTGGCAGAGGCAACGCTAAGAGTGAGTCACAAAAACCAGAGATGAAAGTGGACGCAGTGGATGTTACCACGGTTACTCGCCCACCAAATCACAGCTGACCGGCACGAGACCGCGTCGGTGAAAAGCAGCTGGCTCATTCTGGCTCTCAGTCTCTGAGAGCCGAGTTAATCAGTCTATAAGTGGATGAGTTTTCGGGCCACAACCTAAGGCGACGCGTCACAAGTCAGAAAACTAGAAGGGGGGGAGGGGGAGAGAACGGTCCCATTTTCTCCACATAAAATTCCCTCTCTTCATGATCCCGTGGGAAAAAAATTGAGTTCAGAGAACTGGACGGGTGAGTTGGCTGACCTGACACAGAAGTTGCCCACATTCCACGGCAGGAGCGGTCTCTCCCCCCACCCTACAACGACTGAAACAGAATTCATGCCCCAGCATTAAAAACAGGCTGGACTACAGCCAGTTGGGTTTTGCCAGGTAGTTGAAACGGCCATGGGATGCCTTCGGGAAACAGAAGGCCGTGCTTTTGTGACTTATATAAAAACGCCAATAGACCTGATAAAAGTTGGTAATTGAAGGATGAATTTTTCAGTAGGTAATGCACTCGCGTTAACATTTCTTCTCATTAGCGCAATTTAGACTCAGATATTTCAGGTTTTTTCTTAAACTCACGTAAAAAAGATGGAGACATAACATAAGAGTGAAGGAGACCGAAGTAGGTCAACAGCAAACAAATAAGCAACAACCACAGGGGGCATTACTGGGGCAAAATTGGAAAGTGTACAGCGAGGAGTGATGGACGGGCAACTTGGCAGAGACAATGTCAAATGTGAGTCACAAGGACTGGAGATGAAAGTGGCGTCAGTGACTGACCAGATGTTGCCACCGTTACTCGCCCACCATACCACAGCTGGCCGGCACCAGACTGCGTTGTTAAAAAAGCAGCCAGCTCAATCAGACTCTCAGTCTCCAAGAGCCGAGTTAATCAGTCTATAAGTGGATGACTTTTCAGGCCACAAGCTAAGGCGGCGCGTCACAAGTCAAAAGTCTACACGGGGGACGGGTCCCATTTTCTCCACACAAGCTCCCTCTCCTAACGATCCAATGGACTGCAAACAGGTACGAGCGAAGTGGCTGACAGAAGTTCCTCGTCTTCCATATGTGTCACAACAGGATCGGTCTGTCCCCATCTTCCCCCCCCCTACCAAAACTGAAACGGAATTCATACAACGGTATTAGATACACGATTGACTACAGGCAATTGGTTCTGCCAGTTACGGGACGCCTTCAGTGAACAGAAGGCAGTGTTCTTCGTGATTTATACAAAAACGCCAATACACCCGATATTTGAAAGATGAACTTTCCCGCAGGTAATAGACTCGAGTAAACATGTCTGCTCATTCGTGCAATTTCGGTTGAGAAAATATCGTTTTTTTTCTTAATCCGAACACTACGCAGAGGTTTCCCTGATTATTTCTTTTAGCAGGTCTCGCAAAAATGGTTGCAAAGCAAAGCGACCGTACAGAACTTACCTCCTTGTCGCAAACAACAATACAGCTTTCATCTACCCGCTGAAAATAAAACGCTTTGGCCCGCCTAAAAACGCTCGAACTTTTTTTTGATATCAACTAAAATTGTTGTTTTTGCGACCAGTCATTCCCGAAGGGTAGTACAGGGAAAGCTTGCAGGTGAAGGATGGCTATTTTTATATTTGGGAAACATTGGGAAAAAACGTATAAAATTGCTTGCTTGCAATGAAAAACAAACTGAAGCTGGCGGAGAAAGTAGTTTGCGGCACTCTCCTGTCTGCCTTCTACGAGAAAGGAACATTACGCATTAATTACCACCACCGGGCGTTAAATTTATTAAAATCACTGTAGATGATTTTAAGTGGAGTAAACGACTTTAGGAGGTAAGGTTCGATGTCCCTGACGTCCCAAAACGCGGAATACGAACGCTGGCTTTGTTGGCTGGGCTTAAGAGCACTTACCTGCTGCGTGGTATGTTTCAAGTTTGTGCAGACGGCACTTAAGGCAGCACCAGGACTTAAAACAATACCAGCATCGCAGAAGAATATGGAATATGAACGTTTATATGCTAATACCGGGCTTCTGCTCCTGCTAATGTAGTGGAGAGGAGAGAAGATCGTCCCAGTTCGGATTCACCACTTAGTTTCTGCAAGCTGGCAAAAATTCGTCGTTCCAAGGGTTGTCATACTGAACCGTGAGACAGATCACCATGGCTCACTCTTAATGCAGCCTTTGTAACAGACTCGCTGACTTGATAACCGAAACCGCCAAACTGAAGCCTGTTATGTGTGGAATTATAGGGCCAGCGTGCATGTGTTCAACACAGGCGTAACTAATGCGCTAGCATTCATCAGCACGGATCGCTTGTAGGCCCTCCTCCCCCCCCCGTCGGGAACAGGCTTATTCCGTGGTTTTGTGCTCAAGTCGAGGGTATGATTAGTTTTCAGACACGGAGTTATTCACGCTTGCTGGAATTGAGCACAAAGCCACCTATCCAAATATCCTGCGAGTCCCGTCGTTTTTATCTTGCCAATGGAATACGGTGTGCTGGGAAATAGCACGTTGAATCAGATGCAGCGAAAATCCGTTTAGTCATGGACAAAACTACGTGCAAGTTACTACTGCCCTATTTTTGGGGTAATGGTGGTTATTGTCATTTTTGAAGGACCAGATTATAATCCGCTCCCATCCTTCCTCAACGAAGGACTCTGCACAGAGGGTGAACTTCACCGGCTTTTTTTAGTGAATATTTAGTCACTGGCATGTATTTTTCCACTGCTTCAGTTGAAAAAAAATGAATTCATTCCATGTAGGGCCATTTTATTGAGCCGTCTCTCCACATCTCTTTAGAAAAAGAGTTAAGAACGTATTTTTGGTTACAGGTGGGTGTCACTCCCCTGACTTCGGACCTGTCAATGTTTAGGATCATATAATGACTAGATTCAGAATTTGTTAATTACAGCGCGCTATACACAAAGCGTAAAGCCGGTTAAGCACCTGCTGATGCAGAGTACTCTCCGGTGGATCCCGCATTACGTCGGTGGAGAACAAAATAATCAGTCTGGATTGCAAAGGAAACTCCTCTAGCACTGGATCTTTCACCAAGTGAACAACAGCCTACGAATTCACTCCTGAGTGGAGTATCGTCACCTTTGACTTCGATGCAGTGTACGTGGGATAGGCCAGATGGTGACACCAGAGCTAGAACGGCAGAACTTTCGATAACTCGTACATTGTAAAAAGAAGCTTTCAAAAAAGTCTTGCTGCTTTCAGTCGTGGAGGTCTGAGAGACAATGGAGGCTGACAGCATCATGCTGTCCTGTTTAATCAGATATGCAAACCCTATCGCATTTCACTTAGAGAAAATGCTCACTGGGCGCTTTCTACGTAGATCTCATTTCTCACAGTGGACCCGTACGCGGACTGGACAACCCTATTTTCAACGGCAACTGTCCCCCACGCAATCACATTTAGGAAACGAGCTCTCCAACCTGCTCCAACTTAACTGTGGGGGAGAAAACATAAGTCAGAAAGACCTCGGGTTCAACCAATCGTTTTTATCTGCTAACTACCCGCTGAGATTGCTCCCCGTCTACAACAAGGCCAACAGTTATCGGAGTTTGGGCTAGCCCCAGGTAATTAGTTTTTGGTCACGTGCATGCACATGCAAACCAAACCGAATGATCAATGCTTACTTAATTATGACAGTTCGGTCATCGATTTCGAATATGTCCACCGTGTGCTATCTAGCATGGTGGTGAAAAAAGGACGGTGACTTACGCATTGCATCTATCGCACTCTCTCCCTTCCCTCACCCGGCTGTGCCCGGTGTCAAGAGGAGGCCAAGAAGAGCGGAGGATGGGTCAGGTGCAGGCAGCCGGAATCGCCCAGGCCGGACTCAGATGCCACGGCGTGGGAGGGCCAGGAGTGACA